GCAGCACAAAAGGAGTGGCTAGAACGACCTTTTTCCATAGAGGAAATTGAAGAGGGTCTTCGAAGCTGTGATGGGTCAAAGGCACCTGGCCCAGATGGTTACAATTTCAATTTTATAAAGTTCGCTTGGAACACGTTGAAGGATGATTTTGTGAACTTTTTGAGGGAATTCCATCAACATGGGAGGTTAGTTAAAGGTCTAAACTCTTCTTTCTTGACATTAATTCCTAAAAAATTGAATCCAGTGCAATTTAAGGAGTATAGGCCCATTTGTCTGATAGGTTGTTTGTATAAATTATTGGCGAAAGTTCTAGCAAATAGGTTGAAGAAGGTAATGGCAGATATTATAAGTGAGTCACAATCGGCTTTTGTTGGGGGTCGTCAGTTGGTGGACAGTGTGTTAGTTTTGAATGAGGTAGTTGATGAGGTGAAGAGAAAGAAACAGGAGAGCTTTATTTTTAAGGCTGATTTTGAAAAAGCCTATGATTGTGTGGATTGGGACTTTCTTGATTGGATGATGGACAGAATGGGGTTTGGGGTTAAATGGAGAAAGTGGATTCGGGAATGTCTCTCAACAGCCAGGATTTCGATTTTAATAAATGGAAGTCCGACGTCGGAATTTTCAGTTAGCAAAGGTCTTCGACAAGGTGATCCTTTGTCTCCTTTTCTGTTTTTATTAGTAGGTGAAGGACTGTGTGGGCTGGTGAAAAAAGCAGAGAGTGAAGGGTTGTTGAAAGGTCTGGGAATTGGGAGGGGTGATATGGAGTTGTCATTATTACAGTTTGCAGATGATACTGTTTTTATGGGAAAGGCATGTGCAGGGAATTTAAAGGTTGTGAAAGCCATTTTGCACTGGTTTGAACTGATTTCAGGATTAAAGATTAATTTTAGCAAAAGCCATTTGTATGGGTTTAACACTTCAGAAGGGTGGTTAAAAGGAGCAGCTGAAATTTTGCATTGTGGGGTAGGAAGGGTGCCTTTTATCTACCTTGGTTTGCCGGTTGGAGGGAATCCGGGAAGGAAACAGTTTTGGAATTCTGTGCTGGAGCGGTTTCGTCAGAAGCTCGCCACTTGGAAAAGCCCACTACTGTCCTTTGGAGGCCGGATTACATTAATTAACTCGGTACTGTCTGCTCTTCCTATTTTTTACTTATCTTTATTTAAAATTCCTAAATGTGTGATTGTGGAATTGATTAAAATTCAAAGGAATTTTTTTTGGGGGGGAGTGAAGGCAGAAAAGAAGATTCCTTGGGTTAGGTGGGATTGTGTGTGTGTCGAGAAGGGAAGAGGGGGACTAGGAGTAGCTGATTTAGAGAGGAGAAATTTTGCTTTGTTGGGTAAATGGTGGTTTAGACTAGGTGATGGGGTGGAGGGTTTATGGAAGAGAGTGATTTGGGAGAAATATTATGGGGGGAGGAGAGAGGTGGATATCACTTCTTTTGAATCTTTGACGATGTCTCGTGTGTGGAAGGATATTGTGAGTGTGGGTAGGGGGTCTGAAAGGCTAGTAGAGATGTTAGTAAAGGGCTTTAATTGGAAAGTTGGTGAGGGAAGATGTGTAGATTTTTGGAGGGATAAATGGGTGGGGGATAAGTGCCTGAAAGATTTATTTCCGAGGTTGTTTGCGTTAACAACTATTAGGGAGGGAAGGTTGACGGATATGGGTTTTTGGAGGGGTGATACTTGGGTATGGGATTGTAGATGGCGACGGGGATGTGTAGGGAGGGCTGTTGGTGAGGAGGGACAGTTTAGGGAAATGATTAATGGGGTAAGGTTGAGGATGAAGGAAGCAGATTCTTGGCAATGGCTTCATGGTAGAGATGGTATTTATTCTGTAAAGGCAGCTTATGATTTTTTATCACCGAAAGGGTGTGTTCTGGATGAGAAGTGGTCTCGGATTATTTGGAGTAAATATGTTCCTTCTAAGTTGAGTGTTTTTGGGTGGAGACTATTTTTGAATAGGTTGGCCACTAAAGAGAATTTGTGTAAGAGAGGAATTCTGTTGACAGGTGGGGATGTTAGTTGTGGATTTTGTCATGAGGGGGTGGATGGGCTACATCATATTTTTTGTGAATGTGAAGGGGTGTGGTTAGTATGGAAGAAGGTTTTGGGATGGTGGGGTTTACAAAGTGTTTTGCCAAATGATATATTTGGTTTGGCGGAGTCGGTGGTGTATGGAATAAGTGGAGGATGCTTGAAGGAGCTGGGAGACCTTATTTTTTTGGTAACTGCTTGGTTAGTGTGGTACTGGAGGAATATGAAAGTGTTTGGCCCAGTTTTACAAGCTGAAGTGAGGTTATTGGAATCTATTCAAGCAAAATCTTTTCTATGGATTAAAAATAAAGAGCCAGGATGTGTGTTTTCTTATACCGATTGGATATCAAGACCTATTGATTGTAAAGAAGCCATAGTTCAACATCGTCATAATCTGAAGAAATACAAGAAGATGCAGTGCGTTGTGATCTAAGCTACTTGGGGTTTTTTGATAATTGTGGCACCGTTTCTATATGTATTTAGCTTCTGGACAACTGTTTTCTTTGGCACTTTTGATTTTTTCTTCTCTGTTGCAGTAGTGGTTTAATGTTTGTATTTGGAGTAGGAGTATTCCTTATACTCCGAGAGTTAATATAATGACTATTTGTTTTGCTGATCAAAAAAAAAATAGGGTTCAATATTCAAAACCTCAGGTTAAAAAAAAAAAAGGAAGACGAGAAAAAAAAGATATGAAAACTTGAAATAGAATTCGCGAATTATCTTTTGGCAGAGGTGACGATTCAGCTACGGATGCTGATCTAATGCCTTTGGAATTTAAGCTTTATTTTTATTCCGCTCCTTTTGGGTGGAAGAGAGGGTACCTATTAGCTTTAGGATGTTGCAGTTTGCAACCTCCCGCTAACGTGGAAAGGTCAGTGTCGGTTAATTCAACTGCAACCTCCTGCTAACGTGGAAAGGTCAGTGTCGGTTAATTCAACACTATATTTGATGTATACGGCAACGACTTTGATTTAAATTCTTACTCATAATGGATGGAAAAAATAGCTAAGAAAATAGCGTTATAGCTAACGCGTTTAATTATCGCAGCCTAAACTCTCCTAAACCTCTCTTTGATTCAATTGTTATTTGCTTGTTATATATATTATTATTTGTTATTGTCTTGTTGGAATTGATTACGGTTAAGGTAGGTGGTCGCTACGAGTGCACATGCACTCCCCCTTCCATCAATTAGTATTTCTCTTGTACGTATTTGTTTATTTTAGGTTTGTTCACATTAGTCAATACTTTTTTTTTTTTCTCTAGACATAAGCTGAAATGCTTTCTTTTTCAATTTTGTGCTCTATTCATGTCTAACAGAAATTTCCCCACACAAACATTACCATGAATAACCAGCCGTGGCTTCACAAATTAAGAAGCACAAAAAATGAGAGTTAATCCTAATCCATAATTACGGAATCAAAATAAAGAAATGAGCCGACTAATAGGGGTTTTGCTGTGTTTATCCACTTTTCTAATAGGGACGCTTTCTTCTTCCATGTTAATTAATTAATTTATTTTTTTGTATATTAAAAAATTAACTGTTTAATATAAAATATTTGAAGTTTTGAGTTTAATTTAAAATTTAGACTTTTAGATTAATTGGTACTCTAAATCTAAATTTTAAAATTAATATATATTAATCTAACTAATCTCTTATTAATTTCATTTCAGTTTACGTAGATAGATAATTTTATTTTAACTGCAGACATTTGCGTTGGTTACATATTAGACTTTCTTTTTTAATTTTCTTTCACCCTTAGAGGCTGCTTGGATGAACTTAAAAAAATATTTTTTAAAGTAAATTCTCCTTCGACAAATTCAAAAAATCGACTTTAAAGTAGCTCAGACCTCAGAGGGTCAAATACAGCCATTCAGGGGGAGTTTCAGGGTCATGTACTTCTGCTTCTAGTTAAAGAATTGATTTAGCACGGATAAAGGAAACAAAAGCTGATTTGCCCTTTTTTGCCTTCTTTTAATTAGTAATTTTTTAAAAATTTATTTAATTTATATTTTAAAAATATAAA